TACCCTGCTGGCAGAGGCGTTTATTTGTTAACTTCCCCTACGGTCCACGTAAAAATAAAGTCCTCTGCGCTCGGCCTGTTAAATCTTCTTCGAGCATGCACGGCCTGTTGCTTAGAAACAAATTAGTTCCTGGTAGTACTCGGCTGATTGTGGGCTCACACTTGGTCTTGCTATATAGCTAAATAGGATGCGTGCGCATAAAAACGTGTTTAAAACAGGTTCTGACCGGTTTTGCAAATCAGACTATCCACAAACTTGGATGATTCCCAGGCGCATGCTCGAAAAAGATTTAACAGGCCGAGCGCAGAGGACTTTATTTTTACATGGACCGTAGGGGAAGTTAACAAATAAATGCCTCTGCCAGCAGGGTACATGATAGTTTGCCATCTTGAAAACTGCAACAGGCCTGGGGTAAGGTTTACAGACATACATGACACAATAACATAGAACTTACTACTTTCCGAGAAGGATGGCACAATATGTTAAAAAAATAATGGTAAGTACTTTTTGTCAGTGTTAGGTAATAACTACTTGTAACTGATTTTGGCACACAGATGTTTGGCTAATACACAGTAGGCGACCCCTTACCACACCATGCTTAATGTACATGTACCAGCCATTACATACCCAATGAGCTGAGAAGTACAACCCAAAGACTTTTCCGGCTAAATCAGCAAATGACTTCTCCTCTTTCTTGTTGTTAACCAATTTTACATCTTTCATTAAATCAGCTAGTCCTTTGGGTCTCCATGGAAAGTTTTTGGCTTGCTGGTCCTCTGTTACCATCACACGCCCCTTGTCTGTTATAAGTTTTCCATCCTTTCCATCCAGTATGACCAGTGTTGGTATTCCTTGAACTTTAAATTTTGATGAAAGTGTTTCCTGGTGAAGAAGGGAAGAAAACCATTTAAACTTTTAACTACTATACCACGAGTGACCAAGATGTAATTTCTCCTTACAGCATCAATACAATATCAAGCGGACAAGTGACAAGAAATAAGAAAAATACAAACTAGGGCATTAGTTTGTTGATACAGTACCAGATTTTCTGAACTAAAAACATAAAAGTTGTGTGGTAGACAGTAAGGCAAATTATTCACCGATGAGGTCTAAGGAGCAACAAAGGTCAAGGTTGCAACATGTAGTTCTGTTTATTGACCAAAGTAAACAGTAAACTACATTACTTAATTCCTGAAACCCATAGCCCTCATTATAATTTAAGGCGCCAAAGAACGTACAATGTACAAGCAGCTAAGACAAAGCATTTGTAATAGAACTTTCAATAGAAATTTGAATCATCATATTTTATATTTGTATCGTAGCAGCTTGTAAAAATTGCACAATTCAGTATTTTACTGCGATGTGATTTTAATAAACCAGTCTATCTATCTATCCATCTATCTATCCAAAGAGCAGGTTACAAGTAATGTGCCATATGTCAGAGTCACACAGTTGATAAAAGCACTACACGTAGATAATAGGAACTAGACAAGTAGAGGGAGTTAAAGGATCAATATTTTCCTTTCACTTCATTTGTTTTCACATGGCTTTCATCCTGACTGCATTGTGTATATTGGAATAGTAAACTGGTTAATTGTTTATCTTTGAATTGAATTTTGTATTTAAATGAATTCTGTTCTGAGTTAAGATCCTACATCTTCTGGGATGCATTTGCAGTTTTCTTTAAAAGTCACATGTATCCTGGTCAGAATTCCAGTTAAATAGTGAAAAGAAACATGGTATCTCCCTTGTGAGCTATCAAGTTGCGCACTCTGAGAGAAATTTGATATCTGCGCATGCCCAGGTGTTATTCTCTTATAACAAAGAGGGTCAAAATAACCTTGACTTCCACCAACTAAGAGGTCACTGGCAATGGATAATCTAATAAAATCAAATGACTTTGATAAATGATTGCCAATCCTAAAATTATATTTTCAAACTATAAGTAAAGTTCCCAAAATGAACACAACTCAAATCAAGAGTATCTTTTTTTCAGGATCTTTTTACCTCATTTTTCCACCTTACCCTTTGTGCCAATAAATATTTAATCATGATGTGGGTGGGCCCTTGAGAAAGATCAGAAACATGTGAACAATAGGTGATGAGCAAAAATGAATCCAAGGGCATAATTATATTTGTAATATATGGTTAAAAAACCACTCAAATGAGACAGATTGGTTAGTGATCATCAGTCATCTTGAGATAAAAATAAATGTAAAAGCAAGCTCACAAAATCTATTGGTTAAAAAAAGTAAAAATTTTGAAAAATTACATTTGAAGTCGAAGGTATTTAAGTCGTGTACGTACATGTAAAGTTCATAGTAGGTTTGGACTAACCTAATGTTCACAGATGTTGTTATGGCTTCAGCAAACTACCTTACATTTAGCCAATATCAATAAAGATGATTTAAAAAAGAAAAGCAGCTGCGATGTTCCCAGGATTATTCAGAAAAAAAAATGCGCTATGCATGGGCAAAATTCCTTAAATGCATGACCAGATTTAAGAAATATCGTTAAGAAAATTTCGCGCAAGTAGCGCTAAGAAAATTTTTTTACAAGAATCGCTCATCGTAAAAACTAGGGAATAAACTTGAAATTATTATTAACGCGTCTCCGAAAATGAAAAAACAATGACGTTCATTAATCGCTTGGGGCTTGACTCTGTGTTGCGTTCGCATAATGCAATGTGTTCTTCAGAGACGAGTCTCTGAAACTGTTATCACAGTGTGAGCGATCGTAAACAAACAACACACTTTCAAAGATAAAAATAGCTCTCTACACTTCGAATGCAAATTCTACATAGTAAAGGGATTGATAGATTAGGTGTTACATGTTATGCATACACAGTCAAAGCTAAACTGATTAAATTCAGCTGACTCACCTTTCGAGTACGATCGGTGTAAGGCAAAGCAAGCCAAGGCATTTCTTTGTAATATTCCTGCCACTCTGACTCATTCTTATCAGAACTCACAAAAACAACTTCAAAATTTTTCTCTGAGTGATACTTCTCGTAGAACTGTGCTAACTTTGGCGTAAACCCACGGCAAGGCGGACACCAGTGAGCTGAGAAGTACAAACCGACAACCTTCCCTTCACCACAGATACTCTCTGTAGATACCTCATTCGCTCCTTGGCCCTGCAGTTTCTCACCTAGAAGGCGCTTGAAAGCTTCAGCCATGATTTAATCAAGTGTGGTTTGATTTTAGCGGTTGAGGTTATCCACAACAGCTGTGAACCGTTGCAAGTCGTTCAGACACCAATCTTGCTCCGATCTCAGATCGCGCTAGAACGCCAATATGACAGTTAGGCCTGATGGGAAATATAAGGATGACGTCACGCATTTTAGACTATCCTTGACAATAATTGCGTCATACAAACAAAAACAGTGAATATTGCTACGAGTAGATGTAGACATGCTGTCGTTTCCAAACAACCGTTCTGCAACGTAAACAAGCCCTTCGATCTCTTGTTTTGTTTTTGTCTAATAAGAAAATTTCGAATTCATTAGGAACCACTAGTTACGATGATTAGTTGGGTATTTTGGGAATATAGACACTGTCAGAATGCGATAAAAAAAACCTGGAAAACACAATGTTACTTTTTCACTTTATTTACTTTCACGGTTTCTTGTTGTTAGAACATGAATTCAGAAATTAAAATTTGATGGTGATGGTTTCTGAAAAGAAACCGTTTATAACCTACGCCGAAAGGAAATTCTGTTTCGAAATTTAGTGCATCAGTATTTAATTTTAGAGGATGAACAAATGCATGGAAAATAAAACGTAGAAGCGAAGGAATAAGCTTTCAAGTCAACGACACTCCGATTCTCCGAAACGGTGCAAATTATGGCTTTATAGTGACATCGAACTTTAGTACTTCAAGTGAGGCCTAGCGGCAATTTGACATTTCCACGGCCCGGTAAATATTATGTTTAAACTATATGATATGTCCGGAAAGTGTTGTTTAATCGAAGATTTTGTGTCAAAATGTACAATTTCTCAGAATTTTCAACTTAACGCTACGCAATTTTCTGACCTTGAATTCAAGTAAACAACGATCTAAGCATGGAGAATAGTCTAGTGATCTTACGCACGGGTTTCGTATACGTAAGAAGTTTGTACGTTTTATTGCTTCAAACAGTCCATCAAGAAATGTTTTGAATAAAGCAGTTTGTCTCGAAAGATTTCTTGGTCATTTTCGTCTTGTTTCTCATTCGCAGTTTCCAAGTAACAAATCCACAGGCGTGATTGGATTAATGCATAAAAATTCAGAGATTTTTGTACTTTATCTTAATTTCTGAGTGAAACGTGATATGTATCCATCGTGTTTTTCTTTAAAATTTAGTTATTTAAATGATCAACTTTCGTCAGAGCTTATCTTTGGGAAAAGATGATTAACAAAAAATTACTGAGCACTGTTTCCTCTTTTCCCGTTTCCACATAGGACCCATGGGCAAGCGAAACACTTAGAAATCAATGGGTAAAATATTTGACTCAGTTTTCACTTGTTTTTCATGGGGACAAATTGTCCACTAAATTTTCTCTTTCGGTTTTAACCAAAGGCGGCATGATTAAACCAATTTGACCCGTAAACTAGGGATAAACATCCCTTTTACCGCGGCTTGGTCTCTCGCGTGATCATTCAGTGCGGGAGAAGAGTTTTTCCACCCACGCGCGAGCACGCACGATATGGCGTGATGCGCAACTCTAGCTTGAAAGTCTCATGGTTACCCTATCCCCGGGGCTCCAACAATGATTACCTTTGCTCCTTTTAATTTTGTCTGTTAGCTGATGGTAGTTTTCTTATTTTATTGCAATTTGATTTCTTAAAATTTTGTTTCATACCGTATAGATATTCCACATTTTAGAATATACCGTCATTGCGCGTCTTAAGATTCCGCCATTCCAACGATCCACCGTTCCATCATTCTGTTGAATAGGTCCCATCTTCTCGGGTACCCTAGACAACCCTCCACCCGTGACAACTTTACGGAGCAGCTTACCCCCGTTCGGCCAGGCCAGGTCGTATATTCGACAAAGTGGCGGACGACAGGAAAGAGAATTGATTAGCTGTAGAATGCACGATCTCTTGTTATGGCGTGCTTACACATTTTCTGTTCGAGTTGTCTCGTCTCGGAAAAAATTGTCCCGCCTACCGGGGTTACCCTATCTGCTGAGGTATAGGTAAGACAACTCCTCCCCCCCCCCCCCAAAAGTTGTCTCACTTACCCGAGACGAGTTCACAACCTAATGTAAACGGTCAGCTGAATGTTGAAGAGAAATAAGTGAAAAATTAGCTCGACCAGGGTAACTAGTGGGGAAGGTTGTCACGGGTACCAGAGATCATATGAATGGGGCCTGAAACAAGGTATCGTATATCGCAGCTTTCTCGCTTCTCAAATTTAGCGGCCCTTAATTCCGACATAAGTCGTTCAGTGCGTCGGTCACGGATGCCACAGTGAAATTATTTTGAGATGTGAATCGTCTTTTGTAGTATCACGGCAAGAACTGAAGATTTACTTAATTTGCTGATTAAACGGTATTATCTTTTCTGGTGTCACAGCAAGAACTGAAAAAATCTTATTCTTGGATCTACTGGGCAGTAATCCGTCGATTTAAACGATAAAATGCTCTCCCTTCGAAAAAAAAATGTTTTCTCTAAATTTGCAAGAAGCGCCGATCACACCTTTCAATATATTTCTGCAAGGAAATGCTTTGTCTTTTTTTTTTTTCACACGCCATCCTGATATTATTTTAGGATGTTTATTGTTTTTTTGTAGTACTCCGAAACAGAGAATAAGTAGCACCGAGAAACATCGGGTCAAAATTGGATCCAGATCAGAATTCTATTGTTGATCTCACTCACGCCGTTCATCTCAACAGCGTATATGGCTTCGCCCTCCTAATCTCAGTGCCTTAAATAATTTTCATGCGACACGATGTAACCTAGAGAATGACGGTAGAAGGCAATCTTGGCTGAGTAAGTAACTAAGTAAGTAAAACTTTCTTCACACAGGGCAGCCCATTCAGCTCAAGGCTGGTATCCATAGGGGCCCTGTTTCTCAAAAATAAAATTACATCAAAATTCTCAATTATTTATATATATGAGTAGGATTTTAAAACTACATTAACAGCGTAAGACTTCAAAGCCAAAACACAATTAAGACCTAAAATATTAGATAAAATATCAAGTTAAGATAAAAAGAAATGTCTTAATTGCAATGGGGCACAACCTTTGAATGTTTTCACTCTTCTCAATGTTTAAAGGGAGTTTATTAAACATTTCTGAGTAAAACTGAAATTGAAAACGATCCATATCAACGGGGTGTATCGCTCAATTATTCTAATTGCATCGACCGGATTTTGTTTCGTAAGTATTACGTGCGCTGAGATAAATGTTCGATAACGAACACGAATTGTATAGAACCGACGCCACGTTATTTAATCAGTTGTACTTTCCAACATTAATAATCACAAAGAACGCGAAATACGTCAACTAATTAAACAGATGGAAGATCTTTCTGCAAAGTTCCTCATAAGTTATACTGGCATGTTTACGTTTTCCGGGAAAGTCATTTGGCCGCTAAAAGAAAAATTCAAACGAATCTAGAAAGTCTTCGGGTTTCGATCTTTAGAGTTCAGTCTACATCCGGCCTTCGTTCATAACAGCTAGCGTCCCACCTGAAGTCGATCGCCTTCTAGGCGCAGCGAACAAATTTGTGCAGATGCATTCACTGGTTGGTCAATCAGCAAAAATTGAGATGAGAAATCAACTTACCACAGCTTTCTGACCTCTTTCGAAAGTTGCCGCGGATGAAAGACTCGGATGCGTTGTGAAGAAATATTATCGGCAGGATCCTAGTGGATAACACTTACTCGTCACAGAGGCTGGAGAATAAACAGCTGATAAGAGGAAAAAAGAGCATTCACGTCAATGACGTTATTCTATTGTTTTAATTGTGGTTAGTTTCATTTTAAATGAAATGTCGAGATCGCGGAAGTCGGCGACGATTCAATGGATGATGGATGGCTCTGTGAAATTATTTTGAGATTTTTATCATCTTTTGTAGCAACGAGAAAGGGGGCATTGGGGTCTATTTGAAAGCGCAAAACCGTCACAAAAACCGTAGAAAAAATCATCCATAACCGCAAAAAAAAAAAAGAAAAAAAAAAGAAAAAAAAGCTAAAAAATTCGATCAAAACCGAAAACCGCATACAAAACCGTACGGTAGTGACAAGTGGAGCATAGAGGAGACACAAGAACCTAAATAGGAAAAACCGAAAACCGCATCGGATACCAAATTGGAAAACCCTTTAGTACTTTTGACGAAAACCGAAAACCAAATGCTGCAAAAACGGAAAATCAGCGAACTGTAATAAACATCAAACCGGATAAACCGAAGTTTTTTGGCAAAGAAACCAAGAAACGATCTAATAAAAAGCCAAAACCCCAAAACCGAAAATAATAATGCCCCCCTTTGTGGCGTCACGGCAAGAACTGGAGATTCAAAAAATTTGCTGATTTAAACGGTAAAATGCTCTCTTTTCAAATAAAAAAGATTTCCCCTAAGTTTTATGAGGTATAGATCACAGCTGTTGAGATATTTTGCTAGAAAAACTTTTGCTTAAAAATCGAGTGTTATCTTGAAAAGATAGTGAGATATTTATCCGGCTTTCCTCTGTTTGCAGTAGTACCACGCAAGAACTGTAAACATAAGCTTATTAGTCGCTATAAGCCTGAAATCACAAAAGGAGAGAACTCAACTGTGTATCGAGTGCAAATGACGAACTACCAAGATACCCACCCCCCCCCCTCCCAAAAAAAATAAATAAATAAATAAGTAGCACTGGGAAACATCGGGTCAGAATTGGCTCAAGATCGGAATTGAATTCTATTGTTACACTCTCTGACCGACTCACTCATCTTGACAACATATGTGGCTTTGCTTCTTCTAGGCAGTAGCCACAAAGAGACAAATATATTCAATTAAAAGCAAGCACTTCACATATGCGCGCACCTCCATAACCTTTTGGCTCCACAGAAGAAGAAGAAGAAGAAAGAAGAAAGAAGAAAGTCTTAAACACTCTAAAAAACAAACGTGTCTAGTTACAATGATAAGGTTGAGATCAGACGTCAGCATTATCAGGCACCTCTTGCAGCCGCTTCAGTCCATGTAACGATCTCACCTTCCCTCCCATCCCACCCCAGGGGAGGACATCCACCATACAGTAATCTCGTGCGTGGGAAATTAACGTCTCCTACCCCTAACCCTGCAGGAGACGGG